TTAGTCGAAGTGTCGATTAAGGTCTGTTCGACCTCAAAGAGTTCGAGTCTGAGTTCAAATTAGGGTCGTCCAGTTTTCGAGTTCTTGAGGTATTTTTCCTTTCCTGTTTGTTCCATTTTGTGTTTGTTTATATCTGTTTATTTGTTTAGTGTAGTTTTATTGATTTTTCAATTATTTGTCGATTGATTTTGTCCTTCTTTAAAGACCTTTTATTTGGTCGAACTTTTTTTGGTCATGGTCGAGTATATAATAAACTATATAATCGATTCGAATGAGCTCTGTCGACTAGTTAAGTTTCATTATAAATCCCTATTTCTATCAATATGACTCGAATCACCTCTGTGCCTGTTCGATTCTGATTATTTGCTATTGATTGTATGTGTTCGTGTAATCAATTTGATAAGTGTCGCCGATTAGTTTTACAGTCTTGAATGTTAGAATAACCTGATAATATTTTGATTCATACTGCTTAAATTTTGATTAAGTCATTGTTTGAATTTAGTTATGAATTGGTTATAGCTGATGTGTTTATTGGTTTAGAGTCAGTTCATTTGTTTTCAGTCATTAATTAAGGATTAGTTTAGGTTAATCAGTGATTAGGTTTCTTATTTAAGAATTAGTTATAGCTGATGTGATCGCAGGGGTTTGAGGCAGAATAGTTGTTCAGGGCATCACAGGGGTAATGTGGGGTGTCAAAACTTGAAAAATGCTTTAGTTTGAATGGCTGTCAGTAGGGTACTAATGTACCAATAAACTAATGAATTGTTTAGTAATAGTGGGGAACAAGGCTTAATGGCATGGGAAGTTGATTAAATAAGTTAAGTCACCCATAACCTTGGATTAAAAAAGAGAAAAACATGTAGTAGTGGCTGTCAGGGAATATCATGGGCAGAAAACCTGATAGTTTCAAGGCATAGAGGGCAGGCCTGTTTTTTTATGATAAATAGAGTCATTTTAGACAGATTGGGGGGCCTTTTTTTGGAATCTGAAAAAAAGATCACTGTTTGAGAGAAAAAAAAAGGTTGGCTTTTGAAAACACCACTCTTTGAAGAAGTCACACGTTTGAAAATCAATGGAAAAGGGTCTTAAAATCAGTCTAGGATAGATGTTAAGTCAGTTCTTGTTTCTTCTTTAGCTTGGGAGAATCAGTTTAAAAGGAAAAAAGGTTAGGCATTCATGGAGTTTTGTTACTGTGCCATTGGGGTCCAGAGTTGTTGCTGATTTGATTTTGAGTAAGCTGGGTTTGTTGTAGCTGTTTGGTTTCCTTCCTGAAGTTGAAACTAGTGTGCCGTCTAGTTAAAGTTGACTCTTGGACTGCTTTCTGCTACTCTTTTGGTTTGAAGTTGGTTTCAAGTTAGGTTTATTTTGGGTGATGTTATTGCTGTGTTGGTTTGTTTGTGTTGCTGTTTGGTATAGTTGGGGAATTTTAACTGGTTTTCCTGAGTTGCTGCTGGATATCTGTTACTGTTGCTGTTGTGTTGTGCTATCTGTTGTGTTGATCACTCCTTTTTCTTCTCTATTGCATTTAATTTCCAGGTACATATTCTAAAAAACCTGTGTTGATGTAAGCTCAAATTTGAAGTTGAAGTTGAGATGAAATGGAAATGCAGCTGTTAGTTCTATTTGACATGACTGTATAAATAAACTGAAACTGTTTCTTTATTAGCTAGATTATCACTCGATATGTCTTGAATGTATATAAGCATGTGATCTCGAGCAGTGGTTGTACTTAGTTTTATGTTAGGTTAATAGGATAGTTAGATTAATTTCAGTTTTGGTAATTTGTTTCGTGAAGTCATTTGAAAGCGATTCACATTGCAATAAACCTTTAGTAATGGTCGTCATGTGTTTTGTACTAAAATAGGACTGTTTATTTGCTACATCATGGCATGTTAAAATTGGCCCATAAAGAGTGTTGTGGTTATTTTGTTCAAGTTGTTCCAAGTAGAACGACGTACTGCTTTCACTATAAAATCAGGATACTTACCTAATGACATGCAAATGAATAAGTAAATGCTTGACTTCAGGGGCTCGATCCCTCGATCTCTCCTACGCAGCTCGGCACGCCCCATTCGGTTTTGGGCTTGCCTCAAGGCCCACCTGTTGTTGTTCGTTCACAAGTAGAATTAGTTGGCCCATTTAATTTGGGCATGACTTAAAGGTTTCAGTATATAGTTAACACGATATAAGTTTGGGGCTTTGAGTTAGGTAGCGGGTTCAAATTAAAAGGTCTGTCCTTTTGTTTGGACTCAAACTTGAACTCGAAGCCCGCTTTTATAATATTAACTAATTAGGGCCTTTTCTTTATCTTTAGAAGAAAAAAATAGAAAAATCTTAGTCGCTTTAGGATATTCTTTTAAATAAAATATGACACGAGCCTCGCCAAATAAAATGTACAAACAGCGGGGCCCTCAATAAATGGTTATTTTAAATACTTAGACTTCGGGATGGGCCGTTTAGCAAAATTTCACGGTCTTCCCCAAAATAATGATACGCTAGTCGCTTTAGGCGCGCCTTTAATAATTTACTTTCTTAAACTCGGGTGCATATTTATGTGACCCAAATCCAAATCTCGACAGAGTTAAAATGTGTCAATAACCACGGGTGCATTGATGTGAAGTGGTTCGAGATGTATTTTCACGACGTCGCAATTCTCGTTAAAAATAATAATAATAAAAGCGGTAAACAGTTAAAATTTGCACATAGGTTCAACATGTATTAAAATCAGATAAATAAGCCGAATATGACAGTTGAGCGACCGTGCTAGAACCACGGAACTCGGGAATGCCTAACACCTTCTCCCGGGTTAACAGAATTCCTTACCCGAATTTCTGGTTCGCGGACTGTAATATAGAGTCAATCCTTTCCTCGATTCGGGATTCAACCAGTGACTTGGGACACCATAAATCTTCCAAGTGGCGACTCTAAAATAAATAAATAAATCTCTTTTCGATTGTCCTTTAATTGGAAAAACTCCCCCTACGCCCCTGCGGGCGCAGGTGAAAAAGGAGGTGTGACAAGTCCCACCCACATTTTACCCATACTCACGTTCTTTTTATTATTTTCCATCTTCTGAAACTAAATTTTCCATCTAAATTCACAGAAATTTGAAGATTTTTAAACAGAACAATATTCACAAACGTGAAGGCGAAATGTGCACTACTAATGTGAAACAAAAGCAACAGAAGCATTGGAACAACAAGCTTCGCGCAACAACATCATGATATTTCAGATTTGGGTTTTCAAATCAAAATCGCTACAAATCCACCATTGACAGCCATTAAAAAGCTTTGAATTCAAATTTGGGTTTTCAAAAATCATTATTTGTTTTGATTGGGTGTTGTAAATAATTGGGAATATGTTTTGGAGTTTATATCTCAATTTTGAGGGGTTTTGGTGAAGATTTAGACTTGGTTTTGGCTGAATTTCATATTGAAAGAAGAAGAAGAAGAAGAAGATGAAGAAGAAGAAGAAGAAGAAGAAGAAGAAGAAGAAGAAGAAGAAGAAGAAGAAGAAGAAGAAGAAGAAGAAGAAGAAGAAGAAGAAGAAGAAGACATATTGCAGAAATTGTAGATAAATTGTAGTTACAGTTGGATTGATCAGAATTTGAACTAAATACATCTTCGCCGCCATTGACGGTTTCTGACGAGGAAACTCCTATGTTCTCTACTTCTCCATTCTCCATTTCTTATTTTTACTTCTGTTTTACTTTTTCTATTTCTAATTTGGGTTTCTTGATTTCACACACTTTATACACACATTTGATACAGCAAAAATATGAAGTAGTTGCAGTTGGATTGATCCGAATTTGAAATAAATAAAAGAGATTTTTACATCCTATGCCACATATATTTCAAATTTTATGGAAGCCTGATTTTATGGTAATATCTATAAAATTCCTACATTTATCTACAAATAAACTACACATCAGTTTTAGGATGTATAAAGCAATATTATTTTCATAATTATCTACAAAATTACTACATTTATACTACAATTAAACTACAATCTATGTTGAAAAAATGTTGACTACAAAATTTTTCTCTTCATCTACAAATATACTGCAAATCAGTTTAAGTATGTATAAAACAGTATTATTTGTAAGGGTATCTACATAATTACTACATTTATACTATAAACTACAATCTATGTCGAAAATCTACAAATTATCTACAAAATATCTACAAACTGGGTACATTGAATTTTAATATCCCAATTCCCATTCAATTATAGCATAACTGGGATTTTTGACATAATTGCGTTTTTTCAGAAGATTTGTAGAAGTTTTAGTCGTTTTTTATTTGTGAAAACAGAAAATAAAGCATCTACAATCAGAATACAAATAATCTACAATTTATCTACAAAATATCTACAATTTATCTACAATTTCTGCAATATGTCTTCTTCTTCTTCGACGAGTTTCAATCTGAATTCAGTCAAAACCAAGTTTAATCTTTACCAAAACCCCTCAAAATTGAGATATAAACTCCAAACCATATTCCCAATTATTTTCAACAACACCCAATCCAAAATTTTTTTTTTTTTTTGAAAACCCAAATTTGAATTCAAAGCTTTCAAGCTTTTTAATGGTTGTCAATGGTGGATTTGTAGCGATTTTGATTTAATGACGAACTGAGATTTTGATTTGTAGCAATTGTGAGAAAAAAACGGAACAGAATTTTATTATAAATTGAAGATAAATGATTTCCGTGATATGATTTGATCTCCTTTCCGTTTCAAAACTTGAATTTAATGTAGAATCAATCAATCCCAAGATTCTTTCCTGATTTTTCGCGCGTTATTAAGGGAAGATTCTGCCCTATTAATTCCTAATAAACGAATGGTACAAAAATTGTAGGAAAAATGTGGACTAGGCGGGTAATTTAGATACTATATACATATTTGGTAATAAAGTTTAATATATGGTATAAGAAGGAAAAAATCTCATATATAAACAGCTAGCCCCACCCGCTGATTCAAATTTCAGATTTAGCGCGAAAAACCTACCATTTGAAACTATGGGAGAATTATGCAGATCAACCATTTTCTTCTCCGATCAACACCTCTGTTATGCCGATATTCTTCCTCCTTCACAGGTAACTCTCTCTCTCTCTCTCCGCCACAAACAGAATTCTTAGATTAACAGCAATGCCGAATGTATGAATCGCCTCATTTAGAAGTTTAAATAAGTCGACAACATTGACATTTTTTGTTTATTTATTTTAGGTTTCAGAGTAATTTTAGTCGTCTCATGTAAAAGCTTGAATCTTTTCATAATTTTAGCATGTGGTTGTATTTCTGATCTAATCGGATTTATGTGTTCAGGTCCGAGCTCGAATCGAAGTTGCGGTCCTGAATTTTCTTAAAGCCCTAAGTTCGAACTCTCCGTCCATTTCCGATCTATCACTGGTTCTAAATTCTACTTTCCTTTTTTATTTTTCTAAAACGAAATTTTACTAGTATAACTTGCAATTTTAGCGTACTTCATATGTGTGATGTAAACATCATTAGCTTCTGGAATTTCAAAATGAAATTCAAAAACTTTTATTACTTCATTGTGTATGTTTTTCCGAAGTTTTCAAAATGACTAATTTTCATGAAGTGGGAAAAATTGAAGAAAAACGCAAGGGAAATGAAACTACGTGCCAAAATTTGTATAAAAGTTAGCACTTTTGAGTGATTTATAATGTGAACCTTTTTGCTCCCTCAAGTACAAATTATTTATCAGTATTGGGATGAAATAGGCCTAATTAGAAATAGAAAGAGATGATTCATCTAGTGGACATCAGACAAAATTTTGAGTGATGGTTTATAGTATATGTGACACAGATCAGTAGGAACTCCAGCAATAGCAGAGTGAGCCAGGGTTTACTGACCGGTGATTCATGGATCTTCTTGTCCCATTCTTTTTGCACGCGATCTTTAACAAGAGAGAATAGTGCCAAATCCTTCATAAGAGGTAAAAATAAAATTGCTTACCATAAAATTACTTGATTGTACAAATTAATAATGCTGGTTAACTTTTTATGATCAAGTTTGGAAGGTTATGGAAATGTGCTACCAAATTCTGGTTCAGGAAAAGAGGGTGACTCAGAGAGAGCTATATTACAAGCTACTCTGTGATTCACCAGATTATTTCACTTCTCAAATGCAGGTTAATAGGACCATCCAAGGTCAATGCTGATTCTTCTTTCTTTTCATCATTTCTGAATAATGATTTGTGTGTTTGATTGATTTTGGTGACGGGGTCTTCATTTACCTTCTATGAAGAACAGACTTGGTGGCCTTGCTTCGGTGCAGCCGTTATAGCCTTGGAATAATGGCATCGAGCAGAGGGGCTATAGCAGGCCGTTTATTGTTGCAGGTACTATTCTTAACCCTTCAGTTGTAATTTCAGCTGTTCATATATGTGCTGCTCTGCTTCCGCTCTTCAGAATCCATATTTTATTTGATCAAAAGCTTAGCATTATTAGCTTAACTTGGCCTGTAACAGTACACTATCTGTCAGTTTGGAATCAAATGCGCCTAATAAAGCAAAGGGGATATAGAGAATCCATATAGACAATCACTACTTGTTTGGAATTGAGACATAGTAGATTGATGTCTTTCTATAGGAGCCAACCTAGTCAAACTTTGAATGTTTGCTTGGTAAAAGTTAGCTGTTTTTGGCTGTGTAAGATAAACTATTTTGCTTTGTTTTATTCTGATTTTGTGCGAACAGTCAAGGAACTTAATACTTACCGGTACAAGTCATTAAGTTTCCCATCTAAGCTTTGGTCAAGGATTTGAAGTAGGTAGTTATCCAACACTTAGAACTTTGGTACTTCTTTTTTCCAGAGATGGATTAGTGACTTATGTTTGCTTGCTTCTTTAACCACTGAGAAAGGAGCCAAACAAGGAGGTTGTTGACTGCTCTACCTGTGGATCGTCCGGATATGCTATATCTGGAGACCTAGAATTGTTGGAAAAATTGGCCATGGAAACAGATGCACGATACATCATTGTGGTGGAGAAGGTATTATTTTTGTCTCTTTCTGAAAACTTTACACCACTGATTTTGCAAGAAACTAAAAGTAGTTCTACTTTTTAGCATGCCATATTCCAGCGACTGGCTGAGGATCGCGTATTCAATCAAATCCCATGCATTCTAATCACTGCCAAGGGATTCCCTGATATTGCCACTAGGTGAGGTGAAGAGTTAAGCATATAGTATATCATCTTCAAAGACAACTCTTTTTACCTGAAGTTCCAGCTCACAGAAATATTGTCCATTCAAATATTAACTTACAACATATTCTAATCTCAAAATACTTATTCAGGTTTCTGCTTCATCGAATCTGTCGGACATTCCCCAATTTGCCAGTCCTGGGGTTTGTTGACTGGTATAAATGACTTCACTAGAGTTGCCCACCACATTAGATGCAGACCAACGTTCTTACATATAGAATTGTGATTTTTAAGGAATCCGGCTGGACTAGCAATTCTTTGCACCTTCAAATTTGGAAGCATAGGGATGGGACTTGAAGCGTACAGATATGGTGCTCGTTTCTCTTATAGTTATGTTGAATCATGTGTCCTTGGTATCTTATACGAATCTATTTCTCTATATGTTATTTTAGCTTGCAATGTCAAGTGGCTAGGACTGCGAAAGGATGATATTGATCAACTTGTACCCGAAGAATCTTTGGTCCCTTTGAAACCACGAGATCTGCAGATTGCCAAGAGTTTGATGTCATCAGAGATTCTGCAGGTATGAATCCAGTTAATTTGGAAACGTCCGCCTTAATCCATTATTTGGCTTAATAATCACAAAATTACTGATTTCTAGCAGGATAGTTACAAAGAAGAGGTTGCAGCAATGGTTCAGAGTGGTCGAAGGGCAGAGATTGAAGCTCTTTATTATCATGGATATGATTACTTGGTAAAGTTCCTAGCGACGAAAATAGTGCAAGCTAATTACCTCTGATAATTCCCTCTTCCAAACAAACAAGTACTGAAAAGATACAATACTACTATTTTCCGAATTGAATGCTCCACCTGAACCATGTTGGAAGTTCCGAATTTGAAAATTTCCTCCTAAAAATTGAAAACGCTACGCCTCTCATATGCAATGGCTTGGTTATTTCCTGCTGCTCTCTTCTGTTTACTCTACAGTAATCAGCAGGGCATCAACACTGAGGCTTTACGTTCACTCCAATGGGATATCTAAGTTTAGCGCATTTGATTGGGTGAGCTGGCGACATAGTTCGCGCAATCAACCATATTGAGACAACCCAGAGAGCCAATAACTCATCTCTCATCTATGTGCAATAACTTTAACAATTTATAAAGGTGTAACAATCAAATAATTGGGCATCTGTTCATAATACAACTTATATTGACCTTTATACTGACATCTATTCCTTGGCCTATAACAGACAAATGATAAATAACCCAAGAAAAAGGTTTAAAATAAAACAAAAAAAAAAGGGAAGAAAAAAAGATCAGGGAGGAATGCAGTGGTACGGAAATAGAAGAATAATAGAAAAAAGAACAAGGAAAGCTTGGCGAATGAAGACTCAAAATCTCCCACCTAATTGTTTTACTATCAACCTAGTCTCGGTGGCCATCTACATTTCGTCACAGCTAATCCCAGCAAAGGAAAAAAAAATTCAGGCACCCTTTACAGAAAGAGACACTCTCTTTCCCTCCACTGAGAACTTGTCACTGCCTTCAAGCTGCATACAAGGAAACAAGTCATTTGAGCATGCTAAATGAACAATGAAGAAAGATTATTGAAAAGACAGAACGAATGATATCTCCTCCCAAAAGACACTACAAGATTGCATGGGTTACAGAAGGCAAGTCTGCTAATGAAAATGTACTTTACCTTGCGCTTCAAAAAACCAAGTGCCTCTTTTTTAGTGAAACTACAAAGATCTGAAGATTGTTCATCAATTAGCACTTTAAGCTGCTTCAGCTTTAAAGAGTTCCCAGGTGCCTGGAGTGTCGGATATCAATGAAGGGAAGTCAAGACATGACTTTGAATAACAACAACAACCCAGTATAATCCCACTTAGTGAGGTCTGGGGAGGGTAGTGTGTACGCAGACCTTACCCCTACCCTGGGGTAGAGAGGCTGTTTCCAAATAGACCCCCGGTATCCTTCCCTCCAAGAACTTCCCACCTTGCTCTTGGGGAGACTCGAACTCACAACCTCTTGGTTGGAAGTGGAGGTTGCTTACCATCAGAGCAACCCCTCTTGTCATCAAGACATGACTTTGAATAAATTACTTAAATCAGTGACAAAAATAATCTAAAGAAACCTGTTTCAAGAGCCGTTTGCACAATTTCTTCAGCTTCAATTTTGGTTCATCATTTTTGGCTGGGTGACTGATTTCTTCATATTCTGCTTCCATGGGAGGGTTCGACTCAGAAGAATCTTCTTCATCGCTATCATCAAAGGATGTCTTTTTCCCCTCGAAGTAGCAACCAGCAACCTTCTTTGGCCGGTCTTTGATACCCAGTCCTTGTTTTCCAGTTGTGGCTGTATTCTGCAGTTGAATGACATTGTCATTATATTTCTAGATGAACTTCCCCAATGCTAATACACATCACCAGAGAATATCAGCAAGGAAGCTAATCAGAAAAGATTCATATCAGAATAATAAAAAAACTGCAACCTACTAATAACTAAATCAGTATACACCTTGCACTTGCATTTGTTAACTAGACAAATGTATCTTATAATGTTCCAATTAGTCTATGTAAGAAGTCAGATCCTGATAATATTTGCCAGCATTACAGTTAGGAGGATATAGATGCATTAGGTGAAGTTAGTAAAGATACCATACATAAGGCACTTAAACTTTAAACTTCATTAGAAGTAGTGTTACATTATTCCCCGAAGATTGAGGAACAAGAAGAGATCTATTAAGAGAGATTTATTCTAGAGAAAATCTTAACAGTTGCATCCAATTACAAACTACACGAAAGATATGTTGCGGGGCCAGTGACAGTTCAAAGTCATTAAGCAATTAGAAAGTAAAACCTATGCTTCTTCGAATGGTCAGAAAGCATACTTGCACAAGGTTATAAAGATTTTCTTGATCCTCCTCATGGAATGTGGTCCTCTCACTGAAGTCTCGCATCGTCTCGGACGAAGATGACTTTTTTCTCCGAGCTTGACTTCCAAGAAATCCTCCTGAGACAAATCCATTTTTATAGCCCCACCATTCTGGGGGAACACCTTGATCTTCATTACCTGGCAAAAGGAATTATTTTAATAAACAATCAGTGGATGCATTGACAGCTTAAGCTTATATCTGAAAGCCCAACCAGTTATCGCAAGTATCAAAACCCATTTCATATCAACATATCCTTATTAAACATATGCACAGACAGTAGCATACTTGCAAACATACACCCCAACAACGATCCCACCACCCTGCAAGAAAACGAAATGTATAGACTCGATAGAGAAACAGGAGCTGCAATTCAGGTCAGAAAGAGATTAGTATTTATTCATATTTTCAAAATCTCCTTCCACAAATCACTGATCTCCCCACTCCCATCAGCCAGACAAAAAAAGAAAGCCTTGATATACTAGCAACTTTGAGTGGAAACTAACATAGCAAGAAAATATCTAGTAGATCAGAGGAGGTCTCCTTATCCTTTTCACTGAGATGATTATAGCTTGTTATCTTGGAAGTCCTTAGTGGATGATAATTAGGAAATTAGCTACTCCGCAGTAGTGTAGGAAATTACTGATTCCAGAGCAGGATTTGCACTCTTCTCTCTCCTTTTTCTTTGGCGCTCCTCTCCCTCTTAAAAACATGTTTATAAACAGCAACATTAAATTTGAACCAACGCATTTCCACATGCGCGTGCTTTTTTCATAATTCAAATGGGTCAGGCAACCTAACTGCTCAAATAACAAATCTCGAACTTACATGCATCATCTGCAACAATAATAGTCTCCGCCGTATCTGCTGCCTTATGATCATCATTTGTCGGAGAAGTCTTTGTCTTTTTGACCTACAGAACATGTAAATATGGCTAAGCAAAACACAAAATTATAGAAGAAATAGCCAAAAGGAGCGTGAATTACAAACTTTGAGTCAAAAAAAGGCTCAAGCATGAGCAAGTGAGTGCATTCTTTTTAACATAATGGTCAATTTGCAAATATAATCGTATAAGAGAATAAGCTGATCCAGTCCCAAGTCAACCATTAAATCATATAAAAAGAAAACAAAATTCCTAGTTTTTATGGAAGAAGTATACAGGTTTTGTCGTTTTGAATGGACAAATACCCTAAAAATATTCTGCTTATTGACTGTGAATTGCAAAAACAAAATCATAACATCCTAGTAGGCTCAGATATAACATCAGAGTAAATTGTTGGTGAACTTGTTATAGCCCTAATCAGTATCCATATAGTGGAAACATCACTTTCATGCAAAAGTAAACTTACAAGAATTCCTTCAAGATCCTGCGCTGAATATGAGTGCACAAGCTTTCCTCTTTCCCTTCTCTTATATCTGGTGCACAGAAAAATGAAAAATTGGTTTTTCATTACAATGTGTTCCAGCTCACCACATGTAAAGAAGCATATACCGACAAACTTACCTTCCTTGAGGCCGAGTAACCTTAGCTACAGTCTCTTGTTCTCCATTAGAAGATCCTGTTTTCGTGTCATTTTGCACTTCTTTTTTCTCTTTTACTGTTAGAAGCACCCGAAAAATTTCATACAACAGAACGAAATTGTTTATGTATAACTAAAGAATGATTTTCAATTCAATGTACCTTCATCATTGTTGATTTCAGCTGTTTGCTGCCAAATAATGAAAATAGATGTTAGTCATATAGCACATTAGGAAACAAACTTGGTGAATACATTACAACTCAAAGTTGAAGAAGAGAGTTACCACTTTTAATCTTTTAAGGATGCTATCAAACTGCGCTGTATCAAACGCCCATTCATTTGGCTTTTCTGTACCGATACCTATTCCATAATTCAGAAATAAAAACCAGCTAAGCATTTACTTCTAAAAATAAAATATAAGGAAGATAACAACATTTCTTTGAATTTCACTTACTACCTATAATGCTAAGGAGGTCTTACTTTGTTCCCTTGCCTCCCATTATCTATCCTATGCTAAGGAGTTCTTATTTTGTTCCCTTTCCTAAGATTATCTTCCTTATCCACCCCCCCCCCCCCCACCAACTCATGAGAGAGAGATGTTTTCCTCCTCTATTGCAGCCATGCAACAAAACAGTTACTAAATCAAGATGCGATAAGGCAATCCATTAAAAACCTGCAGTGTCTTGTTTGTTCTGTACTCTGACATATCCTTTGATTCCTTGCTTGTTCTTGCCCAAGCCTTCTCCTTCTTCCCATCCCTATTAACCACATTTCATGCATATTACAAATATATATAACGGAAATTGCAGAGTAACTAGCTCAAGTACAAGCAGATATACAACAAAAGAAATCGAATATACTGAATCAGTTTATAATTATAGTTCCATCAATGGCAATTAACTCCATCAAATATACAGATCACAGAAAAACTTCAGAAACTTCAGAATCAAAAACTATATATCCTACATTTCGTCAGTCTCAAAATCAAAAGCTCAGGACCACTCGCTTGATATCCTTCACTTCTCATAATTACAAAATTTATGGACATTAAAAGAATCAAAAGCCGTCAGCTTCAATATTAATATGCACACAGAGGAGTTCCCATAAACATTACTCCCTACGTCCCAATTTAAGCGGCACACTTACAAAATTTTCACTTTAACATTAATGAGATGATTTAAAGACATACAAATGTTTATGGCTTATTTTAGACCACAAGTTTAGAAGTCTTTCTTTCTTAAACTGCATGGCCAATAAAAAAAGGACACATAAATTCCTATGGAGGGAGTAATACTTATTAATAATAACTATATCATCACCTTCAACTCAAGCAATCTTGCCTGCCGCGCACATATTTAATTTTTCTATTAATTCATTACATGTAAAACAAAATAATATTTTTCATCTCCTTTTTGGTACACGAACATGAAAATTCATCAATTTTAAAACTGAAATGACAAGGATCAAATCAGAAATCACATTTATAACCAAAAAAAATTGAATTTTGAGATACAATTAACTCATTTCACATAAATACGGCAATTCGAAACGTATGTGAAAGAAAATGAAAACAGCAAACCATTTGTTTCATGAGACGGAAGGCGGCGGACTTTCTGGCAACTCCGACATAGCAAACGGGAGCTTCCGGCGCCGCCATAGCCGATTAATCGGAGATAAAAAACGTGCCTTTCGTAACGCCTCTATTCCTCTCTAGTCTAACGAAAACGAGTTTCAAAACCAGAGAGGAAGAGAGGGTTGGTGAAAGAAATAAGAGGTAACAGCTCGAGACCTAATACTCTGGAGTGGAAGAAAGATCCGTTACTGTTTGATTGGGCCAAAGGCTGAAAGTTCTGATTTTAGAGACCCGTTAGGTTGGCCCATCGGGAAGCTGGGAATTGACCCAATAAAATTGGCCCAAATGATAAAAGTTGGCCCATAATTCGAGATGTCTGATGGGATCTTTACAAAAATAGCCAACCTGTATTTACTATTTATATTTTCTAACCAGTAATACATAAATTATACGTTGATACATACACACATAATATTTTTGGTTTAAGTGGGTGGTGAGCGACTATTTTAATTAGTTCTCCATGTCTAATTTTGCATCGGGAAGCTGGAAATTGACCCAATTAGCTTGGATGAAATTCAAAAATAGTCATATTTAATTTAAAAATGATAATTAAAAAATAGCCACAGTTTAAAAGTAATGAAAATTTAGCCACTTTGCATGCAAAGATAAAATTTGAACAAAAGCACTGTTAAAAATTCAGAAACATTCCAGTATAATATGTTGGACTTCAACTTTTTTATTTATGAGCTTCCTGCATAATATGCTGGAAGTTTATAATGTGTTGGAGTTCCATCATAATATGCTGGAAGTTTATATGCAGGAACTCCATAATCCCGCATATTATTCTGGAACTTCCCGTGTGCTGGAGTTCCAACATAATATGTTGGAAGTATATATGCAGGAGCTCCATAATCTAACATATTATGCTGGAAATTTATGTGTTTCAGCAAAATAATGACTAATTTTTAATAATTTTACAAATACTAATTATTTTTTAATTATCAGTTTGGAAACCGTCTAGACCGTACTATTTTGACAATAAGCTTAAGAGAGAATAGACTGTAGAATTGTAAAAATAGCACGGTATAGCCAGTTTTCGGACTGGTCATTCAAAAATAGTCAGCGTTTACGAAGTCAATGAAAAATAGCCACTATTTTGCTGCAACAAAGACCGATCGAGCATAATATACTGGAGTTCGATGTACCTGTGTATGAACTCCAGCATATTATGCTGCACCGGTATACTTTGCTGACTCTAGTATAATATACTGGAGACTAGAGCACCAGTGCTCCAAACACCAGTATATTATACTGGACAATTATACTTGCTGGAACTCCAGTATATTATGTTGGAGTTCTAGTGTACTTATGTTGGAACTCCATCACATTATGCTAGAGTTCCAGCATACTTATCTTGGAACTCCAGTATAGTATGTTGGAGTTCAAGCATACTTATGCTGGAACTCCAGTATAATATACTGGCGTATTTTTCGGGTTTTAACAGTGTTTTTGCTCAAATTTATCTTTACATGAAAAGTGGCTAAATTTCGATTACTTTTGAAACTAGGCTATTTTTGAACGACCAATTGTAAATCTAGCTATTTTTGAATTTCTCCCTGTAGAATTGGCCCAAATGATAAAAAGGTTGGCCCATAACTCGGGATCTGTTATTTCTTTTGCTTTACTTTTTTTTTCTTTCTATTAACCAAATTATCTTTTGCTTTACATCATAAAAGAAAAAAAGTCACTATCCATCTATTTGGACAAAATTTAATATATTTGTGGAAAGAACTTATTCGCATTTGTTGTATGCACTAAAAACTCAATAAGCGCATGATGTGTATTTTTTACGTAAAAATAACACTTACACATTTAATATGTATATTTTAATTCAATTTATAATTTAAACACGGTAAACTAATTTTGTTTGGGACATAGAAAAAGATCCAAATAAGTTTACTAACATTTGTGCTAAAAAATATGTAAGTATTTCGCAATTTACCGGTAAAAGCTAACAGTGTAAATGTTTTTTTAGTACTTCAACTAAAATTCCATCCTTTAATTAAACATTTTTATATCAGAGGAAAGACAAACAGAAAATGAGGATGGTCAAACAAAGGTGAGATTGGGAGAGTAATGAGGCTATGAACCGGGG